TGTCAAGAAGATTGCAATAAAATGCAGTACGAAGTGCGACTAAAAACAAAACAGTTTACTCGCCTCTTGTTTCCTTCATTCATTCTTTATTGTAATCGCGAAACAGATTTTGTCACGGCACGCGAAATTTATCTTGAAAATAGAATTTTTACTTTGAAGAAATTTTTTTACGTAAAAATCTTTTATTTTTATTTCTTTTTTAGATTTATTATTATTATTATTATTTATTTATTTATTCAAGATTTAAAAACAAATTTTTTTAATCAATTTTTCTGAATATTAAATATTATTTTACCCTAAAGAGAATTAGGAGGATTTTTTTAAAACTGCAATTCATTTTTTTTTTTTTTTTTTTTTTTTTGAAGCATGGGAATGTCTTTTTTGCCCCTTTACCGAAAAAAAAGTTTCGTTATCTTTTCCGTTATCATCGTCTTTGGTCTCCGCGTGCTCAGGTTACGGATCCTCCGGTGCAGATCAATCTTTTTTTGCCTCTTGAGATATGTTCATGCTCATCTGTCTTGTGTATGGTTTTTTCTGTATATTTATGAACGTGCCTGCTATGAAGTAGTAAACGTGGCGGTATGCGCTCCTCTCATATAACTGCAAGATGGAGGTTTTCTTTTTTTTCACCCTTACTAGAGAAACATTTACGATCTTTTTTTTTCTTCTTCTTCTTCTTTCATTACATGACATTTGTATACTCAATTTTATAATAGGGAAGTAAATTCTCATCAATTTTATTATTGACTGTTAATTTGTGGTATTTTTCCTCCTCTTTTTTTTCCCCGATGAAGATATTTTCCTAAAACGGATTTTCAGTTGACTTAGAAGCATATGTGTTGAATTTCCGGGAGTATGTTGACCTTTTAAATTTATGGATTGGAGCCTATTTTATGGGGTGTTTTGGCTTGAAAATGGCTCTTGAGAGAGAAAATTGAGTGTTAAAATTGGGAAAATTTATTTCTAAATTTGAAAAAAAACATTTTTTCCCTTTGAAAAAAATGTAATTTTAATAATTAAAATTATTACTCTCTAAATAAACAAATTTTTTTTGTATCAAGGGAAAAAATTTTCACCTGGAACAGCGATATATTTTGCTAAAACAGAGAAAGTTTTCGCTATTCCAAGATAGCTGTTCCAAATATTTTTATTTTTCCGTGTTCAATTATTAGAAAATTTCGACTAAAGATTTTAAAAAGCCATTAAGAATGCAAAAATCACTGAACGACATTTTTTGAAAATTTAACTTTATGAATTTTCAACAGGGGTTTCGACCCTCGAAAAAAATAACCGGGTTGAATTTATTCTTTCTTTCATTCCAGACATATAAAACCGGCATTAGAGAAAAGATTTGTCATTCGTGCAAAGTTTCGTGTTGAGTCAACATTGACAATAAGAACGTGACACGTTCCAAGTTATATATATATATATTTCTTTTTTTTGCCCCATGAGACTCGCCCCCTTTTGTCTCCTTTTTTTTAAGGTACAGCCCTTCTATATATGCTGCACCTTTTATCTCCCTGACGAAACCAATAAGTAAAGGGCAATATTAGAAACAGGCGGAAAAACAGGAAAGAAGAAGGAGGATCAAGGCATATATATATATATTTTTTTTTAAGAATAAATATATATATATATATATATACCGTTGGTAACCCCAATATAGGATTAATATTTTATATCCCGTGTGGATATTGTCAATGTCATGCCATCTAAATTCTAGACTCTGAACTACACATTAGGGTCCAATATATAAGAGTGAAGCTAGAAAATTATGTTATTTTATCTAATCTAATAGTCATTTTGTTTCATTTATTCTCTTTTTTTCTCCGGTATTTCTTTTTTATTAGACGTGTATTTTTTCAAAATTGTCATGTCAAATTTTTATTCGTTTTTTGTATTTTAATTTTGTAAGGGTTTGTAAATTAAAAAAATACTTAACGCTTTAAAATTTTCATAATTCCAAAAGAAATTCTTTTAGTGAGCATTAAAAAAAATATTTCCTACTAGGAATGAAACGCCACGCTTAATCAGGGCGAAAATGTGGATTTTCTAATTAGGGCCACATCAGGCGTGGCGTTACATTCCCTAATAAGGCGGCCCAATCATTGCAAAATTTCTTAACGAGGGTAAAATAATTTATTATTTTGAAAATTTTAAGATTAAAACTACCCATATTTTCTACTGGATTTTTTTTTTATCAAAGAATAAAATTTGAATTTGATGAAATTAGATATTGGAAAATATTTGAGTGTCTGCTATATAGAGGTAAAATGATGATAGAATTTCCTGACTCTGATATAGTATAAGTAGACAAATAATAGTTTACATGCTTTCACTCTTATTGGCATTCTATTATATTCACAGTGGAATACACTTGAACGCGGCGGGCGTATCGAGGGTACTTGCTGAAGTTCACATGAATGCTATATATGTAAAATTATGCGCTACGATAACGATAGCCGTGTACGTAATGGCACGTGCACTTTAGTGTCGCTACTATACATTTTCATATGATGTACATTGAAAATAAAAAATTGATCCACTATTTTTTTTTCATTATTTTAAAATTTTATTTTCCCACAATACAAATAATAATTATTCTTTTCAATTTTCCCTGTTTCTGAATTATTAAAATTATTTCCATTTTCTTTTACTAAAACTCGAATTTTCATTATTTTTTTACTACAACTCTAATTCTTAAAATTCCTTTTTGTTTTACTAAAAGAATTACTAAAACTCGTAAAAATGTAAGTTGAGAACAATGCGCGCGCAGCATGTCAATAGTGGTGGAAACGCACAAACACCAATCACAATCCGTTATCCCCCTCCATTGTTTGCAAGTGCTCAGGGTGTTCTCAACTTACATTTTACAAGTGCCGAAAAAAAAATTCAAATTTCCTTTTCACAATTTCTGAAATAAATTTTAATACCCAATTTCCGTTACTTTGTCAACAGAAACAAAAAAAAAGGACATTAAAATACAGAAAAGATTTATTTACATCGTTTGGAAATAATAGTTATAAAAAAACAATTGTTAAAAGTGCCATGAAAAAAAGATCGTAAAAAAGGGAGTAAAAAACATTTTTTTTTTTTTTTTTTTGAAAGAGCAATAATGGAAATGTCTATAAAAATTTGTGAATCGAACGAATTAATCAAAGTTAAAATAAAAAAACAAATGATGTGAGTATCAAAAAAGAAGAGATTGTAAAATTAAAAAGCAATTTTGAGTATATGTTATGGGTTTGGATCGATGCTTGAAATTTCCGCTGTAATAATTTCTATTGTGGTACAAGATATATATCAGTATACATGTATCTATATGACATAACGACCAGATGTATCGTAACGACTGATTCAACATGTTTTACAATCTGTTTACGTTATAACTGTAACTGTTACATATATATATGTGAAACAATTTGGGAAATTATGTTTACTCTAAATTGTTGTCAATTTGTAATTAATATCGTTTGAAATATTAAAAAATAGTAATAAATTTATTGAATTTTATTTTTGTACACAAAAATGAATATTTAAAATTTTAAATAATTAAAAATATTTTTAAAAATATTTAATAATACAAAAAAATTACATTGATCAGAGAATAAAAAAGCATCGAAAAACCACCTGCATAGTTTCTATGAAAATTATTTGACTGAATCTTAATAAAGTGTTACCATCTGCTTTTGATCGAAAGATGAAAGGATTTCTTCTATATATACCGATAAATTTTCTGTTTATACTCTATTTTTTCTGTTTTGCGTTATTTTTGTGTTTTATTCATGAACTTGTTAAATAAATCCTAATTTTTATTGTTATATAAGCCACTCAAAATAAATTTAGAAAAAAAAACAATTTTCAAGAATGTAAAAAATTTTGTCACTTTCATTTTTCAATATCTACACTTAAAAAAAAGATTTACCTAGAACAGCAAAATGTTTCACTATATAAGCAAAAATTTTTACTTGTTTCACTTAAATCTTTCGTTATTCTAGTAAAACTTTTCCCTATTTCAAGTAAATTTTTTTTTCCGTGTATTTTAAATAAAAATACTGTTTTAATTTTTTATTTATTTATTATTATTATTTTTATTAGTATTATTACTATTATTGATACTTTTTTTAACTATTGAATTAACAATTTAAAAAGAATTCCAATAAAATTTCCTTTTTTTTAAAATAAATTTACCTGCTTTTCAAAATGGAAGGCATAAAAAGAAAAAAAAAATTTTGTATGATGGAAATGGTAAAAAAAAAAAAATTATTGATAAAAAAAAATGAAATTGTATCTCGTGTTTCAAGATATACACCATGTGGGTGGTGTAAACCCAGAAAACTGTTGGACATAACCGGATATGGTTATTTCGAACTATCGGCTGTCGCTATACTGAATTGTTCCATTTCTATGTTTCACTCTTTCGTAGCGAGAGAAGCGTAAAAGTAGCGAAATAGCGAAAGCGAAATTTCACATAAAAGAGTTAGGGAATGCTATATATACAATGTTATATCCACGCCGACGTTTATTCAATAGTCAAACTTATTTTTATTGTCAAAAAAAAAAACCCCCTTGAATTTATTCAAAAAAAAAAAAAATGTCTAATATTCTCTTTTTGTAATTATTGGTTATTAATAATTTTATAGATATTTTTTATACAGCTTATTATTTATGAAGATATTTATACATTTTTTTTTTATTTAACACTTTTTATGTTAAACAATTTTTTATGTTAAATAATTTTTTTTGCCTTTACGGAAAAAAAATCTTCACCTGGAATAGCGATAAGTTTCACTGGAACAGCGATATGTTTCACTAAAACAGGGAAAGTTTTCGCTATTCTAAAGAAACATACAGCTGTTTTAGATAAAAAAAAGTTTTCGAGTTAAATCATTTTTTTTTTTTGCATTAAATAATTCCATTTTGCCTAAAATATATTTTTTTAACCTTAATTAATTTTTTTTTAAATAAGGACAGAAAGGTTTTAGAAGAAAAATCATATATTTTAATTTACTATACGAGTTTATTTCGTCTGCGTATCATAGTTTATAGCTTACGAGTATAATTCTACATCAAGTTTCGAAAAATGGATACATTTACATTCATTGTCACTGGATTAATTCCTCGTCATAATTCTTCACGTCTCGCCATCAATCGTGGTAATACTAATTTTTTTTAATAGTTTCAGTTAAAACATGAGACTTTATTTTTATTTTTTTTTTATTACTTATCGTGGTATTGTATGGTATTTGTAGGACAGCTACGATCTCTTATTTTGCTAAGTGTTATACATAAATAGGGTATTCCATGGGTAAAATTTGCGAGATCCACGAATCTTAGCTCACGGGCAATTATACGATTATATTATCATTATTATTATTATTATTAAGGTTATGTTAATATTTACATCGAGAATTATCAATTAATATCCACGACTCGTTTAATAAAAAGTGGGGGGTTGGGGGGGGGGGGTAGGTACAGCGAGACAACACGTAAGAGAAAAAATCTCTTGATTAAAAGACTTACGCTCATTGGAACCAGTTTTATTATTATATATATATATATTTATATTTTTTATACTCTAAAAAGAGAGATCCAAGTTTTCAGGAAATTCGCCTATAATCTCTTTTTCTAAAAAAAAGAACTTTTACATTTATTTACGTATTTTTTTTTTCGTAGCTATATTGATTCCATTTGAGAAAAAAAAAGACTTTTTTCTTAGAAAAAGTTTTTATTTTGATTTCTTTTCTCAATTGGATTCATTTTTTTTTTTTTTTTGCCACAGCGAAATTCCTTGTACATTGTTGGACGTAGATGAAGATATTATAAAAAACATTTTTATACCATATTTATACGGTGCGTCAAGAACAATTGTATTTAATACAAGTCACACACGTTTCGTTCATATATAAAACAAAAAAAAAAAATTATTTTCTTGTTTCGAAAGAAAAATTATTTTATTACAAACGAAACATGAAGACTATAATAATGTCATTGAGCTACTTTCAAAAAAAAAAAAAACCAAAAAAAAAAAAAATTTGAAAGTATGTCCCTTAAATATTTATATAAAACAAACAGAAAAAAAAACTGAAACATTAAAGCAGCGAGGAAAAGCGAAGCAATCGAAAATGTGATCTAAATATTAAAAACAAGGGGAAATAATTAACAATAGCTGCCTGTCGAAATAACAAGATCGTAGACCAAAATTCATTGTGTGATTATTTTACAAAAAAAAAAAAAAAGAAAACAGTGAACATATTACAACAACCCCCACCCCCCCGACACTTAACATTAACAATACTCAAAATTTTTCATTCCAAACAAAATTTTTGTACATTCCAAACAAAATTTGTACATTTCAAAACAAAAATTATTCATTCAAAACAAAAATTACATTATTTAATTGAAAATTGTACTCCGTTTATAGAAAACAAAAAAAATCGATATTAAAACACATTAATTAACAAATTACAATATTTTTTTTTCTTTTGTTACAAAACAAGAAATTATTAAAACACATAATTTAACAAATTTTATGAGTTTATTCTTTTTCTTTTTTATAACTATTTTGAAACTAAAGAAAAAATCTTTAGAAACACTGGAAACAATTTTTTTTTTCAAATCTTTGGCGCAATTTTCATTTTTACGTCCTTTGTGGAAATTGCTAAAAAAAAATCCCAGAATTTATTTTTCTAAAACCCTCCCCCGCCCCCTATGAATTTTTTTTCCATCCTTATATTTAATCACTGGTTTAATTTTTCGTTTTTGCTATCAAGAATACGGAAGCTAAATTAAGTCTTACATGGTCTGTCAGTACCTTTTTCTCTTTCATTCTTACATTAACAAAAAAAAAAAAAAAAAAAAAAAAAATGAACAATTACGCAAAAAATATAAAGTAAAATAAACAGTTCATATAAATAAACAATGATATAAAGAAAATATAACAATTTTTTTCACGAGACGGATTGGAATAATAAGCGCTCAATTTTTTTACTGGGAAATTTTTTTAAACTATTTTTTTTTTTGTATGCATTCTTTTATTTATTTATTTTTTTGCTTATAGTATTTTTCTCAAACATACGAGCAATCACACATCCCTCTTGGTATTTCACGATTATCATCATCCCTTGAGCCGTACTCTATAGTTTTTTTTTTTTTCTTATCATTACTAATCTTCTTAATTCGGATAAGAGAAGTCCTCAACGCCTTTTTATTATATATAGTCTCAAAAATCCTACCCATTTTGAACCTTTTTTTTTAATATGGTCGCGAGTTTGGCAAGTTGGGCAAAATGTTGTACTATTCAATGTTTTCGATTCGTTGAACATTTTTTTAATAAACAAAAATTGACTACTGATTTTTTTAATAAATAATTTTTTTTGTTTTTTATTTGAAGCAAATAAAAAATAATAATCTCAGAACCTAATAACTTTTTTTTTTTTTTTTTAAATAAAAAAATCTTTTTTTATGGAAAATATTTGTATTTAATATCAAAATTATTTGAAACTTTGGCTCTGAGGTAATTAAATATTTTCGTAGTTATGAAAAAAAAAATCTGTTCATCGAATAAAAAACATTGTATATCTTACTTATAAAACGGTAAGTTTGAACTTTAGCGTGAGATTAGTTTTTATGCATATATTTTATAATAAATGTAGAGGGAAATTAGGGAAATAGGGAATTAGGGAATGAGGAAAATGGATGAGGGAATGATCAAAGATTTATTTGGAGAATGGATGAAAATAGAAACGCTAAATATGATATGAATAATAGTCGCTATTTTTCATAAAGTCGAACATGCGGAGACGAGCTGACAGGAAGCTTTATTATTATTATTATTATTATTATTATTTTTGAGTGTGGACGGCGCCCGCGCAATAATTATTTTTCCTTCTTTTGTTTCTTTTTTATATTAATTTTTTCCTTTTTTTTAAAAAACAAAATTCACCTTCACGCCATCAGAGGCGGGAAAAATATAAAAGGTTTCAAACAATAAAGCACTGGCGACCATGAACAATAAAAAAAAAAAAAAAAAAAAAAATTATGTGGTCAACAGAATCGCTCTTCTTTCATTCTTTAATAATTTCTCTTCACAGAGGGTATTGCTAATTGACAGTCTGCGTCAATTTTATTTTCTCATTATGTGTCCTATCTCTCTCTCTCTCTCTCTCTCTTACAAAAAGAAAAAACAAATTACAATACTAAAGTAACACTCTCTCATTCTCTCACAAAGGGGGAAAAAATAGGAGAATTAAATAAATATTTACAAAAGAGTTTTTGCTTTTTTAAAAATACGATACAATAATTTTTTTTTTTCTTCAAAAAGAGAACATTCTTTTTTAAACTATTTTGATAAAAAAAATCATATCATTTCGATGATAATAATATTAATAATAATATTAATAATAATATCAATAATATTAATAATATTAATAATATTAATAATATTAATAATAATAATAATAATAACGAAATGATAGTTTAATAAATAGAAAAAAAAAAACGTTTTAGATTCTTTGACTCTGGCAGATCGTCCTGTAAGCTCCTTATTCGTTCGCCTCCTTAATTACAGTAAATATTCTAAGTAAGTGTAATCTGTACAAAAACCGCTCGTTTATACGAATTATTATTATTTATTTATTTTTTTTTTTTATGAGTCTACGGACGTATCGGCGCCGCCACTTCATCGTTTCTACTCACTACCGCTTCATTAATAATTAACGACATAACATCAAACGTAACTATAGCGATAATAGATCATAATACAAGGTTATCATAAAGCTTTCTACAAAATTGATACACCATTTCGTCGGAACCATTTTTTTTTCTTTTTTTTTTTTTTTTTTTTTTATTTTTCAAAGTCACCTAAACGCACTTTTTGTCTGCTCCAAAAAATTTTGCCGTATACATGTGCCGGGCGTGATCACACTCTTTGACGTTTTGCGAAAAATTTAATAATAATTATAATCCAAATATGGCTGAAAAAAAAGCAATTCAAAAGTACGCGGAACCGTTTATATATATATATATATCTATATTACAATTATTTTTTAAAGGGAATATTTGCCTTTTTAGATCGTGTTTTAAATTAAAAAATTTTAATTTATTTATTTAATTTTATTTATTAATAACATTTTATTCAATTTCTCGTTCGATTAAATTATTCATAATAATAATTATTAATTTATTAATTAATGATAAAATTATTATTAGTATTAATTAATAATAAAAATAATAATAAATTTACAAAATTATTAATTAATACTAAAATTGTATTGTAATAAAATTAAAAAATTTTTCAATCTACAAAAATGAAAAAAAAAAAAAAGAATAAAAATCTTAAAGACAAATATCCCTTTAAATTGTTCTAACACGCCCTTACATAAAAAAAAAATCGAGATTTTTCTCATTCGATCTTCGATTCTGCGAGCTCCCTCGAAAAAAAAAAATCTAAATACTATTACAAATAGGGTACTTCTCGCTATAATAGATTATACGTGAGAATATCGTGTGTGGACTCGCATACGCGTCTTAATTACATACGGATACTGTTTAGAATAATATTTTAATTAGATATAATTAATGGTAAAGTATTCATTTTCCTTCACGTTTACCTATACATAGATACTCTATATTTATATATATATATATAATTTTTTTTTTTATTTATTTATATATGTATATGGGATTTCACCTTGGGTTCGGACGTCTATTAGAGTTTGCTTGTCGTCGTCGTCTTTTTTTTTCATTAATTATTATTTTTTTTATTAATTTGTTACGTACATTTTTATACGTATTCTATTTTTCGTTCCTTGCTTCCGGAGCACGATAACGCGGACTCTCTTCATTAGTTAATATGCTTATCAATTTGAATTATACATTTACGAAGTAATTACGTTTTTTTTTTTATTTTTTAAGGTCGCATTTTACATTCAACACTTATCCCAAAAATTATCATTTTTTTTTTATTCTAATTATTTATTTATATATATATATATATATATATATATATATAAACTTTGAATTTTTATACAGTTTCTTAAGATCTAAAAATGTTGAGATTTAAAAAAGTTTTCTCTAAACAATATTTTTTTTTTTTTTTTTGATGCGTCGAAAAATTTTGTTTGATAATTTTTGGGATATGTGTGGGAAAAAAATTTTTTTTAATTACGATTTTTCTTTTTTTTGTCTTTTTATAAGTATTCTAGTTAAGCAATACCAACAACAGGCTCTACTCTACGGAAAGGTCTACCCTGACACCAAATTACGTATTTAATGTACTATGAGTGAGATACTCGTCCGGTATTATAGAATTATTACTCATTTCCATGTTTCCTGGTCGTTAAGTTCCAAGATAAATTGCTTGAATTTGGATTGTTTGCCATTTAAAATAGCCCTCTTCTATTCTCAATTTTGAATTATGTTTGTTAATTCAAAAAAGTATTCAATTTTTCGCAATCAATTTTTTTTTTATTTCAATTTTTTATAATATTAAAAAATTTCTACTGATAATTAAAAATAGAATAAGGCTACTTTAAATATTACTCCAAAATTTAATTATTTTAGACTGCATACGTATTTCCGTTTTGGCAAGGGTGAAAAAAAAAATATTAAAAAAAAAAATTAAGCGAAAATTGTAAAAATTATTACATTTAATGTAATTACAATTTATTATTTAAAATCAACGACCAATTTATAACAATTTTAAAAAATTGTTCTAATTTTCAATGAGAAAAAAAATTAAATTCAACTTTTTTTAAAATTAAATTCTTTTTTTTTCATTTTGTAAAGTTAACACAATAAACAACAAATTTTTTTCACAGGGATTCATAACCGGAATAACAGATCAAAATTGATTTAAATGACTACTATTCAACTATAATTTGAACACAATAAATTTTTTTTTTCTTTTTAATAACGCTATTGAAAAAAAAGAATCATTAATTCGAAAATATAATTTATTTTCATTTCTATACTTTTTAAGTAAAAAAAAAAAAAAATTTTTTTTCAAATTTTTAAATTATTTAGGAATTAAAAAAACAACGAGTTTTTATTGTTTGACTAACTAGTTTGACTAATTGCCAATTATCATTTTCGAATTATGATCAATTTTTCTATATACTTAATCAATAATTAAATTTCAATATAAATAAAACGAAAACAAAAAAAAAAGTCTTCTTAGCACCGGTAAAAAAAATAATTGAATCCATTCTTTACATATTTTTTTTATATAAAGAATGTCTCGAGTCCATTAGACGTTACCCTAATTTAAATTGCGTCATTGCGTCTATATAAATTCCGAGTCCCACAAGGTCTTAAGAACATTGTCCCTGACTCTTGAATATTTGCGGCTGTAATCACCATTTTTTTTTTTTTTTTTTTGCAAATTTTTATATCATCAAATTCTTAACATAAGAATAGTCACAGATGAATCACCGGGTAATTGTTTTGCAATATATGATGAATAATTTCCACTTCATCAAAAATTTAAGTCCATTGTCTCGAAGATATAAAGTATTTTCATTTTTAGCAACCATAGCAATTTCCATAGTAACCGTTACCATAGCAACTGTTTCAATTTATTTTTTCGAAAAAAAAACACAGTTGGGAAGATTCGAACCCTTGAATTACATTCAGTAGAAGGCGCCTTAACCAATTGAGCTAATTAATCACTTTAAACGGAAAGAGACTTTAAAATTGTATTTTTTCAAAATTTATTACAAACAAAATAGTTTTTTTTTGAAGAAAATTAGACGCTCTTGAGACAAATCTTGTGGATCTTGATGAAATCTTGAGAAGTCGCCGTTTTTATAGGGAGTCGATGAGAATCGTTCAACGAACGAAAGAGGCTCTCTAAACTATCAATTCCTTTTTTTCAGGAATTTGTTGCACTTTAGCCATATCCAGATTTTCTGGATCAAAAATAAAAAAGGTTCCTCGGAGAGAAAGGACCATTTTTGAAAAGGGGAATTCTGTTCTTCTATTCTTTTTTTTAAAAGGGAACAGGAAAAACGTAAACGATGCAGTCTTCATCTCTTCGACAACTTGTTGCCATATGTGAGGGGAATTAGGGGGGTGGAGGGGTGTCATTTTTGACACACTGTTGTCCTGGACAAAAGCCGATCATACGAAGATCACGATGGCTCATTGTCACTTCCGTCTTACAAAAAATACATTCTAGAATCAGTCGAGCGAGACCACGATTAACGCTTGTTTTGGCCTCGCCAAAAGGTATAAGTACGTAGTCGAGTGTTTTATTTTTTTTTTGTATGTGTGTGTGTGTAAGTGTATGTGTGCTATTTAATAATTATAACTCCTAGGCAAGAGAGAGTGAAGTGAGCAATGTTGTACCCTATGCCTGAACTTTACTGACAGCCTTGAGGAGATCGGTTTGCGTTTTATCGAGACCACCAACGTGGTGTTGTTGATGCTGAAGGGCATTTTGTTGCTCCTGTTGCATTTTTGCTTGTTTTTCAGCCTGTTGTTTTTTCATCATATCTTGCTCTTCACGTTCACGACGAGCCTGCTCGTTTATTTCTTTAACCGCCCTTAATTCCTTCTTCAATTTCATCCGTCGATTTTGAAACCAAATCTTGATTTGCCTCTCCGTTAAACAAAGTGCGTGCGCTATTTCTATTCGTCGTCTTCTCGTTAGGTAATGATTGAAATGAAATTCCTTCTCTAATTCCAACGTTTGAAATCGTGTATAGGTTTGTCGACCTCTACGCCTCGGACAACCATTTGGACCTGTAATCATTCAATTATTTTTCTACCATTAGCTTCTTTTATTTTCACTATTGTTCATCCAAAAAAAAAAAAATTTGTTGATAACAATGCAGACAACTTATATTTGAGAAATTTGTCAAAATTAATATTTTTAAAATCCAGAAAATGTGTTTTTTGTGCTTCAAAAATTAAATTATTACCCGATTCGCGTGAAAATTGAAAAATTATACGTACTATAATATTGACCCTCCCAAGTAAGATCATTGAAATTCTGCTTTGACAACGGCTCAGAACGGCATATGTCCAGGGTATTTAGATTGGACATGCGCTCCCCTGAAAGTTGAACAAAACAATTCTTCTTTAACAAAAAAACTCATAAATTTTTTTTAATTCTTTTTTAATAACTTTTTTTTTTATTTCGAATAATTTATTTTCTATTTCAAATAATTCCGAATATTTTTAACTGCATTAAAAAAAAATTACTATCCCAAACTAAGAGCATTTTAACCAGTAATAACGATTCAAAACAACATTATCAATATTGTAAAACTGATTATCTTCTCTCTGTATAATATGTGAGGGAACTCTCTAAAATTTATGGTCTATGACTTCAGAAAAAAAAAAGAAATGACCTTGACTTGTAAAAAAAAGTCGCTGATTGTCACACACCCTTGACTAACATTTTTTTCGTGTTGTCACAAATCTTAACTCTCTCTTTTTTTCTCTCATTCTCATTTCTTGCTTTCCCTTTCACAAAAGAGTGAAATGGTCAGTTTATTGCAGGGGTTGAGTCCCCAAAAAAAGGGCATAAAAAAAGAAAATTCTTTCTCAAAACGTTTAAAGAAGAAAAAAAAAGTTAGACCCGAAGGAAAACCCTTTTTTTAAAAAAAAAAGAACCCCTGACCTGACTTTCCCTCATAGTCTTCAAGAGTAGTCGAGAAGTTGTAAACACGAGGTTCTCGTGCATTATGATCTTTTTTATGGTGTTTGGGTATTTAAAGCTGTTAAAATCATACCGTGCAATGCTTATGAGTCCGCAGGTAGTCAAGTATTTTTTTTCCCCTCACGAAATTCACTTTTTTTTTTTACCGACTTCTGATTTTATGGAAGAAAATTTTTTTTTCTTTTATAAAATCATTTTCAGTAGAATTTTTTACAAAAATATATCATTTTGTAAATTCTGGCTCTAGAAATTATTTTATTATTATTGTATGTAATTTTTTTTTTTGTTTTATTACTATTGTATATATTTTTTTAAATTATCAATATTACATTTTTTCAATTTTATTACTTTTTTTATTATTTTTTATTTTATTACTTTTCAAGAAAAAAAAAAAAAAAAAAAAAAAAAAAGATGCGCTGCAGAAAGCTTATTTGGTACAAAATGATAAACATCTTATAACCAACATCTTTTGAAGAAGCAATTACACGAAGAAATAACGCTTGCAATTGTTAACAAAAAAAACAACAACAAAAAAATTCTAATGGAATTTCCTTGCAGACACACGAAGATAGTTGAAGCAATGTCAGGCGTCGGATTGGCGGCGTCGTGACAAGAATACTAGCTTCCTGCGTGTGTCTTGATTTCTCACTATATATATACTCTTTTCATTCAACTTTTTTTTTCCAGCCTCTTTCAGAATTTCAATTTTTCTTCAGAAAACCAAAAATTAGTTCAATAAACCTTCATTCAACATAAAAGAAAAAATAAATAAACATTCCGATCAAAAGAAATCGAAATTTGTTACTTCAAACAAAAAATGTTTAGAAAAATTTAAAAAATTTTTAAAAATTAAAAAACTTAAAATATTTTTAAAAAATTTACAAAATTAAAAAAAAATTCTTTAATTAAAAATTAACTTTTTAGAAATACTTTGACAATGCCGCAATTTATCATATCGAAGTCCGCAAGCAATACAGATAAGGCGTTCAAAGTATTTTGCAATCGCATTAACTATATATATATATATATATATAATTCCAAAAGAGTGGGGGAAAAAAAATTCTTTACAGAATGCAAAGAATGTTGATATTGAATTCAATATGGCCGTTCATGAGATTTTGGTCCATGAACATTTTTCACATTTATTTCTCCGCGCACCTAAAAAACATACGTTACCATTCACATATTTTTATACATGTGTGTAAATTTATACTGCACACATTTATACTACAATACATAGATATATATTTTTTTTCAACATATACTTTTGCTATAAAAACATTTCACGCATTTGATATAGCCGTGTATATACATATAGTATTCCTAGATTTTTTATTCGTTACCGTTACATTTGTAAAAGTAACATTTTCTTTTCTACTTTCTTTTTAATACCCGTAATTTTTTTTAAAATTGTATTTAAAAAAATAATACACATAATAATAATAGTAACAAAAATAATAATAATAATAATATTAATAATAATAACGAAAATAATAATAATAATAATAACGATAAAAATAATATTCCAGGTAAAACAGTCCGCTGAAAGTCTGCTAAATATCTTCAGACATTCAGCGGACTGTTTTACACCCAGAGAAATATTTTATTTGAAACAAATATAATATTATTTGAGTTAAATAAACGTATATTTGTCTCTGAGTCTACTGTATAGCCCATTTATTTGGCGGAAATAAAATTTTTTATTTGAATCAAATGAAAATATATTTAAATCAAATAAATATTTATTTGGCTCTGAAACAAATAAATATATAATTTTTTTTGTATCTACTTCTGATAATATAATATGTGACTCTCCACGAGAGAAGGGACCTTACGTAAAAAAAAAAATTAGGTTATGTTTTTGACTATTGTTTTCCAATTATTCCATTTCGACGTATTGGGTTAGCAATATTAGCGCCGTCTTCAGGATTAAGTATTGCAACTCAAGTGGAGTAATGGCTAAACTATCACTGAATATAACCTAAAAATTTTTTTTTCACAGTCCCTTCTCTTGTAAAGGCTCACATATTATTAACGTACAATAAAAAAAATTTCACTCTCTTAGAAAAAAATTATCCAATGTCAACAAAAATCAACAAAAAATTTAAGTAAAATTTATCTTTAAAAATTCCTAATAGTATATATATATCTGTATGCAAATAAGAGAGTGCAAATGTGTAGGACTGTGGATACATTTGTATATATGCATCACATTAAAATACGAAGTGTACATGTTTAAAAATACATATATATGTATATATATATGTAAATATGCATGTGTGTATGTGTGAGGTAAAAATTGCTTCTGGCCAGAAATGTGGAACCGTGAAAGTGGCTGAAGCAGCGTGTGCTGTTGGATCGAGGGTGCATTTGGATGTGTGTGGGGTGGTCGCCAAAGCAAGAAGGGTGGGCCATAGGTTACCTTGGCAACCAGAGGGGAAACCATTTCATCCTGCTGACGGCATATCACACACAGGGGCGAGTCAACCAGCAAAATACCCTTGCTCAACTGCAACAACTCTTGTGCTTTTGTGTATGTGTGTGTGTGTGTGTGTGTTAGCTTCGTTTTGTCCTCGTCGTCGAGGAGTCTGACACCCCGTCCCTAGCACGATCACGAACACTCCACTGACGTAAATAATTCCCAAAAACACCCCCCCCCCTACAACCTCACCTCACCCCATTCCATCCTCTTCAACTCTGAAATTCGTTATCCCAATGGACGAAATTGTTATGCTATAGTTGTGTGTCCTTAGCCATGTCAGCGAATGATAAAATGCCACTAAAATTAGTTTCCCGTTAATTCTACTTGTATTTTTAGCGAAAATTTAATTTTTAAAAATTGTATTAGTTTTTTATTTTAGTAAACACAGTAGTTTTCTTTTTTTTTTAGAAAAAATACTTTTTTTTGTTTTTGGCAAAAAAATACTACTAAAAGTACTAGTAATAATAATACTAGTAGGATTTTTTTATTTTAGTGAACAGAAGTTTTCTTTTTTTATAATAAAAGTACTAGTTGTTTAATTTAGTAAAAAATAGTAACACATAGTAGTAGTAGTAGTAGTAGTAGTAGTAGTAGTAGTAGTAGTAGTAGTAATAGTACTAGTTTTTTCATTTTAGTAAAAAATAGTAGTTTTCCTTTTTTTAGTAAAATAGTACTAGTTTTTTTTCAGTAAAAAATAGTATTAATAGTACTAGTACTAATATTAGTAGTAGTAGTAGTAGTAGGAATAGTATTAGTAGTAGTAATAATAATAATACAAGTAGTATTTTAGTAAGCAACAATAATTTTCTTTTTTTATAAAAAGTAGTACTAGTAATAATAGTAGTAGTTTTTTATTATAGTAAAAAAAAGTGGTTTACTTTTTTCAGAAAAAATAGTACTAATACTATTATTATAGTAGGAATAGTATTAGTAATTGTAATAACAATAGTAGAATTTTTTTTTTTAGTAACAAATAGTAGTTTTTTTTTCTTTAGTAAAAAAATAGTATTTTTCTTTTTTTTAATAAAAAACAGTACCTACATTTTTTTTTTGAAAAAAGTTAAAAAATTCTTTTTTTAAAGAAAAATTAAACATATTTCCTGATGAAAAAGAACCATTTTCTCGAGACCATTTTCATTTGAGATGGTTAGTCACTAGAATTAAATTCTCAGTGAAGTAATAATGTCGGGCTCTGAAGGAGTTCATTATAATAATAATAATAATAATAATTATTATTATTATTATTATTATTACCATCTATATTAAATTCTGTGTGCTCATTTTTGCGAGAATAATGAAAATAATTGAAATTTTTTCTCCCTCTAATCACTATTAATTATTATTTTATTTGTATAAGTATTATTAGGGAAAAATTGGACAGAATGTTAAAAAACAAAAATTAATACTTCACATTTTCGTATTTTAAATAAAGAAAAATGTTTTTTTTTTTTTTAGTTAAACTGCAGTAAATTCTTTTTTTTTAATCAATTAAAGTTACATTTGGATGAAAATTAAATAGAAACTATTGTCAAATTTTAGGTTATGTTATAAATTGTTTTCTTTTAGTAAAGAAATTTTTTTAATAACATAAAAACATTTTAAGCAATACAATATAAATAACAGGAGAAAAAAGAAAGTATGGAAAATAAATTAAACCACAAGTATATAGGTATTGTGTTTTCGTATTATATATAGAAAAGGGATGGAGGGTTCTGCGCCTAATTGCAGCCGTATATTAAGTTTAATATCGTGCTTTCGGTTCTCGCACGAGGGCCAAACGGGGTAAGAGGAAAGTTGTGGCTACGCGATATTGGGGAAGTTTGCCGGGGCTGTGCGTCTCTTTTCCAAGGAAGTCGCACTATATGGAAACCTAACTTCAACCCTTGTGGTTCCTCTTCACCCTCTCTC